TTACATGGAGAATTAATTATTAATATCTAATTAATAAGACTAATAATAATGTGATAATAATGTGAAAAAAATTATATATAAAATTAAAAAGAAGGAATTAAACCCTATAATACCCTGTTTTAGCGAAATCTGTCCACATTTGTGTTAAACAGTTTATCATCTTATAATCTTCCGAATCAGGTGCAGGTGGTGATAAGCCAAGATCTTTCATCATGTTAGGATAAAATAAATAAGGTAAATCTTCACCATGACTTACTCCTGTCCATATAAAATATATACTTTTATTTAATGTAATTACTAATTGTTAAATACTTTAAAAGATAATTCAATGTTTTAATTAAATATTTAAAACAAAATCATTTTTATTATTCTAAAAACACACCTTTTGAAATGTGTTGAAACATTTTATGTAGAGATTGTGATACAAGCGTACTTATATTCTTTAGAAATAAAAGTTTTTAAAATTTTAAATAGGCTTAAAGTAATTAGTGACAATACCTGGGAGTGTAATATTAAGTAATTTTCTCATAAAATTAGTTTCATTCTCGTATGAAAATTTATATAGATATGTTGCATTGTTATCGGTGTTATCGGTGTTCAGTTCTGCCTGAATATCTGTTACCTCCATTATAGAACGATAAAAAAACTGGTCGCCAATAAAATTAGCATAATTTATTAAAGTTTCTTCTGACACCGCTTTGTCACCAAAATATATAGATCGTAATTCTTTGACTGTCATCGGTATCTTTGATAATGTCGATAAAATTTTGGGCATTATGATCATTTTGAAGTCTGAATCAATTTTTTTAAGTTCTTCTTTGCTCGTATCTGAAACAATTTTCAGACCATTTAAATAATGGACCTTTAAATGCTGACTATCATACAGATTGTTACATAAAACAATATATTTTGACAAACTTTTTATTAAGAAATCTGTTATTCAAATATACTTGTATGGAGGAAAGGTTATTGTTAAAACATTAGTTAAAATTTTTCGTAAATATGATCTATTAATAGAATGCAACATAAAGAATATCTAGATAATAGATATCTATGTTTAATTATGCACATATTTATCATAAATGCTATATTTATCATTATATAATAAATTTAATAATAAACAAATTAAATTATAAAACGCTCATAAAGAAAACATGATTTTGGAACAAAAATTTTTTGATATATGATTATAATTTTCACATGCATTCAGAAATGATAAATTAATGAAAATTATTATAACTCTAGAATATATACATTACAAATATTACCCATAAAAATTTATTATACTCACTTAAAGATATAAATTTGTTAAATATCTGCTTGATATCATTGTTGTCATTTTTAATAGAACATATCTTACGAAAATTTTATCTGATTTAGGATACATTCAATATAGACAAAAATAAATATACTCACGGTTCATAAAATTACTACAAATGAAAAGAGATCCCTCGCAACTGGTAAAACCTAAAAGTAATGGTACATTAACCCCGCGATGTATAAACGTCGTTAGATTTTCTGGGAAAGCTGGATTCGACGACTCGTAATCCAAAGTAGGTGTAAATGTCAGAAGACATTGTTGACGCTCCTACGGTATATATTATTATTTAAGTATATATTATTAAAGATATATTATTAAAGATTAAGTGAATTATTGCTAATTTCTCGCAGGAGCTTGTAAATTTTTGTAAATTTCTATTTGAAATAATCTCTATTTCAAATAATTGTATCACCATTTCTTGCTGTCGAGGAATTGGCTTTGATTCTCTGAGTTGTTTATTAACATTTACTCGGCTTATATTAATATATTGTATATTATTAAAAAACACATTTTATTGATGCGACCTATAATGTGGATATATATTTCTTGTGGTATATTTGTCTAATTAAATATTCGGATAATTACAGCTTCTGACAAGAGAGACTTCTCTTGAGTCTCTATAAGTTTTTTTGCATCGATTGTTTTGAGAAATTCGTAAGCGACTTTCGGATCTGTAGTCGGTTTTCCAAGTTTCTCGGCAAGCAGAAAACCTCTGTTTTTTGTATGTGGTTCTCGTTCAGTAAAAGCCCAAGGACACGCCATAACACCACTTTGCGATATTGCTTTATGAAATAAACCTGTTATAACGAATAGGTTGATATAATGATTTGTTATTATAAAATTTTTCTTTTTTTCTTTTTAACATAAATACAACTTAGGATTAATTCAAGTTCTTCTAACCACTATCTTTTATCATTTTGTTATTAAGATCAAATTTTAACTAAATTTCTCTCTCTCTCTTTCTCTCTCTGTCTTTCTCTAAGGAAAGAAATTAATAGTTCAATTTTTCATTTTAACAATGTTAGTACACATTAAAATATGATTGAACTTTTGTAAATAATCGTATTTTCTTGATAGAAAATTAGACTAGAATTTGTTTCAATAAATCTATTATTAAATTTTAGGATTAAATTACATGTGTGCGCGCGGAAACATACCTATTTTGAGAGAGAGAGAGAGAGAGAGAGAGAGAGAGAGAGAGAGAGAGAGAGAGAGAGAGAGAGAGAGAGAGAGAGAGAGAGAGAGAGAGAGAGAGAGAGAGAGAGAGAGAGAGAGAG